TTTAACCCCCTTTCGTCTAATATGCATATTTGTATACTTCGTTTATAAAAATTTTATAAAATCANAATTTTTATTGAGGATGAGGCCGTTTTTTTTTAATGAAAAACTTATTGTGAAACTTATTGTGGAGTCGAGCACAAAAAACAAACAAACAAAATACAAAAACAGAGAACTTGTTATGTAAAAAATCAAAAACCGTGGTGTTTTTATATTTTTATATGCCTTAGACTTCTGCTACATATACTTTTGCTTTATTTTTAACAGGGCTGTGGATGAACAACAACGAACTAACGCTTAAAAAACTATAAATTATTTGTTTTATTTAAATACGATATTGTATTACTAATTAGTGTTTTTTTATAAACTTTTTCTTTATAAGAAAAAATTGGTATTTTTCCCTTTTAAGTATTTTTTCTCAAATATTAATATACGAAGTATACAAATATGCATACTAGACAAAATATTTTTTGTCAAAAAAAGTAATTTTTTCCTTTTAAGAGTTTTTTCTAAAATTTTTGTTCACGGGGTATACAAATATGCATACCAGAAGAAAGGAGGTTTAATCGCTTTTAAAACGATAACAATTTAAAAAAAATCGATTAGTAATTTTTTTGTTTAAAATTTTTTTTTTTTTGTACAAAAAAAGGTATTTTTTCCCTTAAATGTATTTTTTTCACAAGTTTTTATAAACGAAGTATAAAAATCATATCTCAAGAAAGGGGTTTTAATCACTTTTACAACGATACGAATCTTTTAAAAATCAGTCCAAAATTTTATGATATATTAAGTTTTTTAATTTTTCGAAGATTTGACCTTTGAACCGTTATAGCACCTGTAATAAAAGCTTTCACAAAAAAAGTTATATACCATATAAATAAGAGAAAAAGACGGACTACATCTGTATTTTCACTTCTTTTGCTTTTTACATGCAATAATTAAAAATAATTTTTTACCAAAGGTCCAATTTCGAACTTCGTATGTGGTGATCTCCGAAACAGCTGTTATAAATTCTACCACTTCCTAGCAAACAAATCTTGGTACAAAGCTCAATGACACTATTGAAACAAATTTTGTTGTTCAAGAGTGTTATTAGTGACAATGATAAGTCCGAGAATGCCTCCTGATCTTTCTATTTCTAGACTGGAAGAACGATGGCCTGTGTTATTTTGATCGCCCTCTATGCAAGGATTCAGTTGCTTTCATTTTGAAAAGCCAATTTCGTTGTTAAAACTATTGATATCGATAATGTTCCTACGGAAGCAGAACAATGCATTTTTATACCGGAGCACACTTGTGCACAAGGGTATTATAACTTTATTCACATAACCGTTATTTGTAACAGCCTAAAGGAATTGAGACAGATATAGACAAATGTCATAAATTATCATATTTAAAAAAGAGAAATAGATTAAGCCGTGACAGTCTGCTCGTCCATTCGTCCGTCCGTGCACACGAAACTGGTGTACAATTTTGGATATATTAACGAAACCTGGTACATGTATTTCATTTGAGATAATGACGGAAGGTATTGAAAATGGGCCTACCTCCCATAACGGCGGTTTGCAGAAGTACGAAAACTGCGATATTTTAGTAACTAATGCAGGTTATTCACTCAAAATTTATATTTACAAGGATCTCTTGGAGAAAAATAATAATATTATAAATCCTTGGAAAATAGGCGTTGCCACGCCCACTTATGATTACGGCAACCGCTCCGCCAATTTCTCCGAAACTTGGCACACTTGTTGTCCTTGGCACAACATACCAAATGGCTGAAAATTTTTGACTGAAATGACATCGGGCAATAACCACGCCCACATCTCATATAACAGCAATTTAGAGAAAAACGAAATCCATGATAAATCAGCAAATACTGAAGCTAATTTATTAAAAATTTATGCTGGAAAAGTGGGCATGACACCCCCTTTTATGAACCCATATGTGTTCTCGGCAATTGTTCTATCAATTTGTACCAAACTCGGTATACTTATTGTACTGGACACAAGAAACCAACATGTTGAACATTTTTGAAATCGGACTTTATTACGCCCACTTCTCATATTGCGGTAAATTTCAGAAATGCGGAAACTTCGATATTTCGAAATTCAAGCACACTAATTTACTCAAAATTGATACTCACAACAATCCCTTAAATATAAATAAGGTTATTATGGACTTTTGGAAAATGGGTGCCGCCCACTTGTAACTATATAAGTGGATCTCATTAAGTCTAACTGCACATAGTGAAGAAATTGTTTGAAAAACACAATGCGTACCATGTAACGGTAGTTTCCAGAAAGATAAAAAAACTATATTTAATACGTGCGTTGGGTATTCAATGTTCGGATTCGCTCGCACTAGACTTTTTTACTTGTTTAATATAGAATAGCATATCCAAGACATCTTAGTACTTTCATCATTCGTGTTTAGCGTTGAAACAAAGTTTTATTCAGTGGTCTTCCTGATTACTTGACTTTGTGATGGGTCTGACAAGTTGAGTCGGCCTCTGTGGTGTAGTGGTAAGCAGTGCGCGCTTCCACTCCGCATCACCTGCGTTCAAACCCTGGTCAAAGCAACACCGCAAAAAAATATAGATAAAGGGTTTTTTCTTAACAGCGGTCGTACCTCGGCAGGCAATGGCAAACCTCCGAGTGTATTTCTGCCATGAAAAACAGCTTCTCATCAAAATACAATCGCCGTTCGGAGTCGGCGTAAAACTGCAGGTCCCTCCGCTTTGTGTGACATCATCAAGGCGCACGCCAAAAATCGGAGGAGAAGCTCGGCCTAGCACTAACATATGTGTAAGCGCCAACATATTATTATTATTATTACTGACAAGTTGAGTATGAATAAATAAATACACATTATTCGACTATTCTCAAAAAATCGGATTTTACAAACACAAGAATAAAATCTGCCACCTATAGGCGGGACAATTCTTGCTTGTACTTGGCTTAGTACTACTACACTTTTCGTGAGGCTATTTTACTTGTCAAATCGTATGAGAAAATGTTTTTACCCTGACAGGTGAAGTAATGGTTTTTTTGTATCTGTGGCAGCATAGCTAAGTTTTGCCATCGCTCGAGCAACATCTCTTTATGATTAGCTTTATTATCGATGCTCACAAACGGATATATGTATGATACACTTACTGATTAGCAGATAAGAAATCCTAGCAGAGCTGAGCGACTTTATTAAAACTTGTCTAACTTTGAATGGTGACAGGTGTGACATGTGACGGACGTGACAAACATAATAGTTTTTATTTCTAAAAGAAAGGTATTTTTTGTTCTTTCTTTGTTATTTGTGGCCTTATAACAATTATATTCAACAAATTTATTGAGCTGAGGGCATTTTTGATAAAACAATTTACAAAAAAAGACAGCAATTTATATTTGGGTAGATCACCACATTCATCAGACATTTTCAACTGGCATTCGATCCAACGACCCCAGCCGCCTAAGCCAGTAGACTTTCCCACTGAGCAAAGTTGAAGAAATCCGATGAGGAGATGTGGTGGTCTCCGAAATAGCTTCTATAACTTCTGTCAAAATGTAAATTGCTGTTTTTTTCCGAAAAAATTTTCATTGAAAACGGCCTGAAGCTCAATTGCTGAATCTTGTGAAAATTGTTCCGTATTTAAAATGTTTAACAATTTTAGCTTTTAAGCGCGTAAAAAAATATCTCAGGCAAACACATTAAAGCTATGACCGGATGCTTTGTACTTCACCATATTTACTGTTATTATATATGTAAATATTTATTGGGCATTTCAAAAGCACAGTACTGCAAATGACGTCTTAAGCGCTGGACAAAAACTTTTCCATTTGCTAATCCATCATTTTGTGAAGTTGCCATTAAAAAACAAATTGCGTCATTCAACATTTGAGTGGATAAACACGCAGCAATAACAAAGAGTGTGTACAAAGAATTTGTTTGTGTTTATCCTTGCCGGCAAATCTACTTCAATTCTTTTCAAGCTTTAATGCAAATTCATTGGCAAAGAAAAGGGTTAACGCACCCAAAAGGCACTGACGCGGCAGCGATAGCGGAGTCCCGGTCTAAGACAAGACAGCCCGTACTGCAACAAATTCACAGTTTCTGGGGCGGATTTTTGTATTTTTGATTAATGATTCAAACTTTGCTTACTTTTAATTCAGCTACTTCGAAAGGATTCGTCTGGCAATATTTTCTTTTGTTTGCTTGCTTGTGCCAGAAGAAGAAGAAAGCGGATGGATCTTAGCGTCCAAGCAATTTTCCCTTTTTTAATTAAAATTCAAAATTATACCCGTTTAGTCTTTGCGGCGCTGGAGTTGCTTAATAAATCGCGTCATTTGTATGTATTTTTTTTTTTTTTTAATTTTGTCATTTATAAATTGGAAAAGTTTCTTAAACAAAAATTTATCATTTCTTGGTACGAAATGAACGTTGCTCACCTACATACATACATACAAACATGTGTAGTATGTATGTAAATATTTCCTGTTGGTGTCCAGCGCAGCAGCCCTTTCATGCCAGCGTGTAATAATTATAATTTTTCCTCTTTTACTTCTTTCTGGTTTGCGAACGCCGATCCAAACTGGCAGCAAAACCGTAATTTCCTTCTTTTGTCCAATTCATCAGCGATATGATACAGCGACAGCCAGGCACTCCAGCCAGCAACCCGGCTCAGGATCGGGGATGTCCTTGTTCCCTTGTTTCCGTTTTCGCCCAGTCACCGCACTGCGTCACCGATTTTGTTTATTTTTGCATTTTTTGTTTTCGATTTTTCCCTACAGTTGGTGTCGTAGTAGTTGTCGGTTGCGTTTCTGTTCTCTTGGCGCTACGGTCGAGGCAAACAAATTAAATGGTGATTATCATAGTCAGCAGAACATTTCTTATGGTCGAAGTTTCCACATTGTGTGTCTTAGCCTTTATTTAGTTTTTCTCCTGCAGATAAATACATACATATGTACATATGTATGTATGTAAATATGTATGTACTTGCTAATGTATGCACACTTATTTCTGTATCTGGAGACGTCTGTTTTGGCTAGCGCTGTCTTACGCCTGATGGCTTTGTAGAGATTTTTAACTCTTTTGCCACGACTGTCTTTAACCCCGACGTCTTTCAACTCGATGCGGTTGTTTGTGTTTTTATTTTACTCCGTTGTACAGTGGGTGATTGTGGCCAAAATTCCAAATGAAATTTAAGTAAATCCCTTTGTTTTGTTGTTTATGGCAGATCGTACCTAATATAAGAAAAAACAAACAAAAAAATTAATATTTTTCCTGTTTAGCGGTACAATGAGCTCAAATACATATTTATATGTAAGTAAAAATTCTGACATTTTATTTCGAAATTTATACCTTGCTTTGAGGAGCTCACACTAATTTATTTATTAACTAATGTTCTTGTAAGTTAATAGAAAAGCTTTCGATTAGTATAGCAGCAAACAGATGGCAACCTGCGCGGCGCTCTTTTCTGTACCAGAAATAGTTTCAAAAATCTCTGATATACATATCAGAGTGATAAAGAGAGTTCGTTATATTTATTTTACAAGCTTTATCTAGAGGAGAGAAAATAGTTTTATTGAGGCAGTAGCAAAATAATTAATAACAACTAGAAATTCCGATTGTATGGGTGGTTAATAGTGGGGATGTATGTACATATTGCATCCTCTATTGATCTCTTCAGGCCTTCTCAGTATCAGTGTGCGATTCAGGCGAGAAAAAGTTTAAGGGATTGGCACCAGTAGCACAAGAAATGCTCCTCCTTTAGGATGAAAAAAGCACATAATTTTATTCGTATTGAAACAAAAAAGAGAACATAGCGTTTCTGACCTTTGATAAAGATTTATTTTTGTAAATCTTTATTACGTTTAGTGAAATACCACAAAACGGATACAAAAAAAAAAAGTATTTATAGAAAAGTAAATATATTTTTGTTTAATTTAAATAGAAATAACAATAAGTGTATTTCTTTAACATCATAAACTGCCGATAAGGGTGATAAATTTATGAATTGTAATATGGACTTGTAATTTTATCACGTTTATCAGCAGTTTATCATGTTAGATGAATACCCCTATTATAAATTAAATAAAAATATGCTCGTTCATTATTCAACATTTCATTATCTAAGTCTTAGTGACTAAAACTTGTGAGACCTTTTGGACTAGTCTATTTAAAATGGCCTCTAAAGCTTTCATTTTAAACAAACATTTTTATTACATTTCTTGATTACATTTTCATAATTGTCAAAAAAAGGGTTCAAGTTCAATTCCTCCGATTTGTTATGGAACTCCTCACCTATAATGCTACTTTACCACGGCAACCCACTTACGCAGTTTGCTCTCTCATTCGTAATTCGCACTCCAATTACCCTTCGAATTACGTAATGCGCCATACAAAATTTTGAGAGCGAATTACCTCATTTGTTGGTAATTCAAATCCAATTACCGTGCGAATTACGAACAAATCGGTGCGGTCTCTAATTTTTATCCGAAATTTATCGAAACTAGCTCACAAATCAAAACCTCATTTTTTCCCGAGTACAAAAAGTAAAATTTAGAAATGTGCATATCCGTAATTTAATACGGAAACTTATAAATTTTTAGGAAGAATCAAAATTTTGCATCAATTTTGCAGCGAAGAAAACAAAAACCAAAAAACACAGAAGTAGAGAACTGTCAAATCGAATTAAGAAAATATGACCCAATAACTCCGTAAGATTACCAGTTTAAAAATATTGCGATTTAAATTTTTTGCGGAATTTTCTTTATATGGGGAGTGGACGTATGTGTAGACGGATAAGGTTAATTTTAGCGTAATTTTTAGTACATTCATCAATTAAGCTTTCTTACCAAATTTGGAATTTGCAACTGACCCACTGTGCGTTGGTGCGACTGAAATCCTCCACGCTGCGTCTTGCTGACCTGGCGTGGTTGATCCTCGTTAAGCGATCTTCACAACTATGATTTAACCGCAACAGCAACGAATTGTGAATGCTTCATGCGTTGTTGAAGAGCACAACTGCTGCAACTGCTGCCGCGGCGTAGCGCGGCGCGCCCCGGCATAGTCACAGCCATTGCCACAGTCACTCAGACGCATACTGGAAATATATTCTGATTTGTTTTCCGGTAGCTCTGCTGATACCTTTTCATTCTCATGTTAGGGTAGGCAAGGGTTCTTCGCACAAATTGGCGGTTGCCTGATGGTGCCTGGCTTAAAACCACTGCATCTGCTCAACATTATGTATATGTATGTAGTTTTGTTTTTTTTTTGTTTTGTATTCCTTTGTTGTTGTCTTACGCCCTTCATCTGTTTGCATCGGTTGGTTTTTGTTATCCCCTTTTTTTCCACTATTGAGTATTCTTAGGGATTTGACTTTGCTTTGTTTTTTTTTACATCGACGATTTCCTGAATGAAAGGGAAACAATGGGAACTTAAGTGGGTTTGTAGGATCACTTTCGGTTTTTAACAGCCGTGTCTGAGCCAGAGAAGCAGAAGTTGGATGCATTTACAACAAGTGCGTTGATCGGTGCTAGCCGCAATGAGGCTGCCTTCGTTATCAGCTTACATGACCGAGCCACGACGACAGGTTCACAGAGGACCACAGATGTAGATGCAACACGGAGACAATCAGAGAGATTTGCAGTTGATAGGTACATATGTATGTATGTATGTATGTGGATATCCTATGAGAAAATTGAACATGTGTTTCAGTGTTGTAAATTACATACAATGTTGTAAAAAAAGGTGAGAGGGGTTGCAAGAAAGGATTGATAAATTTGTGGCGGAAAATCAGGTGCGAACTGATGTTGGGAATGTATGTATGTATGTATGTATATGCATATGTATATGTATGCACAATCTTACATATGTATAGAGGAAAGAACATTTGTATATCCCTACTTTATTCTGGCTGTTGCCCAGTTAGTTGTATCTCTTTGTTTTCTCTCTGCGTTATGTGCGTGTAAATAATTGAATTCTTAAAGATGAAGATAAATTGAAGGCGGATGCGCTTCGGATAGGTAATGTATTTGGAGACTGTGGTATATTTGCAGCTACATAGAATTGGGTTTTGTACGTATGTTTTGATCTTGTGCATAAACGGTTTAACATGCGAAATAGAGAAATCGATTTGTGATGCTGATCTGAAGTAATTAATAAGTGTGGAATGCTTATAGCCTTTTGTATGACGATAAATCACTTCAATGCTTTGCTTGGAAAAGATCGTATTCACGACATTGATTGAGGCCTGCCATGGAAGAAGATTGTTTACCAAAAATTTATTCGGTCAAATTTAACACTTCCAAAAACAAAACATTGGCTAACTCATTTTTAGAAGGTACATACACCTCTGGGCATAATAATAGGTACACTCCATTTTGACGAGTTTTGATTTTTTTTCGTTTGTTTGTTTAATGTTAATTAATTTTTTATAAAAGTCTAGTCCATTATATAAAAACACAGAAAAATTTCACAAAATTTCACAACAGCATATTTTAGATTCGCAGTATTTAATAATATTTTTATAATGATACCTATTCTAGTTTGAAACCGTACAAGTTTTAAGTAGCTCATAAACTTCGTTGATTTTTGATCATTTCTTTTGCTGATATAGTGCTATTACATACTATAAAATAAATAAAATGCGTTCTAACAGCCAGGCAGACACATGGACATGGCTAAATCGACTCAGGTCGACGTTCTGATTATTTCGGTTAACATATTTTTTTCCTGGGTCCATCTTTTGTTCATCTGGCACTTACAAAGTTGGATTGCCATTTCGGGATTATGAAAGGTATAAGCTCAAATTTTATCATCCATTATCGATTTATGGGCGGTCCTATGTTTGATATGCCTACATACATACATATGTATATACTTATAGAGATAGTACATGTGTACATATATATATTTATGGTCTTATTCATAAAAAATAAAGTAGCGTTAAAAAACGTTTATAAACTGAAAAATGTATGAAAACGTCACTTTATAAAGCTCTTTAAACCTATGAATAAGGCCATTAAGGTTTAAATTCAAATAATAATCAGCTTTAATATTCGATGTATGTGAATAAGGTGAGGGTGGGAGTGTTATATTTAAAAAGAGCTATTTATACATCTTTTAATAATTGAATCATGTGTACAGCCAATATGGTTGATGGTGTTGCTTACAAGTGACCAGAGTGCGACCATAAATTTGTAGCTGTAGATAAGCCTTAGAAATTATGGTAGATTTCAAAATAATGTGATAGATTTACATAGGCGTAGGTATTAAAATGCATAATCTTTCAGTTTAACATGCTTTTCATTAGCCCATAACGATAAAATACTTTAAAGGCCCGTTTGCAGTTCCCAAGAAAAATCATAAGAAATATTTTTCATTATTTCTGTTGCTACGAAAGGCACTTTGCAGTTGGTGTAAATTTTCTTGAAGAAATACCCGGCAGTGAAACCCCAAACTAGTCAGGAAAAATACTGGTTTACAACTAGAATTTCCTGACTGAAACCGAACTAGTTCGAAAATGAACAGACTAGTACCAAGCACACAACGATTTATTCATGCCCTGTTTTCTTTGAATTCGACAGTTTAATACAATAAAGTATACAAAATATTATAACTTTTATTTGGGTATATTATAAACCATTAAGCCGAGTACGTATTCAATTATGCCAGACTTGTTAAATAATGATTATTAATTAAAGCATGTTTTTTTTTTGATAACCCTTTAATGATTAAACATCGATTTTGGTGATTAATAACTAATTACTTAAAAAAATGTTAATTAATTCATTCAATTTTGATGTAGTTTACACCAAGTACATTTGACTACAGGGTAAATAGACGAGCCTTCTTTTTTTAAGATCGATCTGCATACTGATTTAAGACATTTTGTTAGAGGAAACTTTTTTATTCGCGTTCTTGAGTGTTGTTTTACATGCATTTTTCGTTTTTCTAGAGAGCTGCAGACAGGCCTGAAAAAATATATACATATCGTCGTTTAAAGGGTTCCGTAGAAAAGTCACCGGGGTTCCGCGAAATTAATTTTGTTAAGAATAAGAACGGTGGTCGGTTTGAGTTGCACACAGAAAGAAAAGTCAAATTATTTTTCGGGTGGTAGTAATAATATTGGTGTGGTACAAAATCCATTTACGAAGCATTCATAGATCTCCAGAGTATTTCGACATTGTAACACACATTTGAATCTGTGTCTCTGAGTGAGTTATGGGTCAAAAGTGTTCGCCTGAGGCGACTTTGCGTTCAACTTTTGCGTTGAACTCACGCAGGGTTGCACGCAAAAAAAAAGTTGAATGGCTAAATGTTGGCTGGCGACCAACTTTGTTGAAAGCGATTAGTTGAAAGGCCGTTCATCCAAAAGTAGAATGCAAAGTTGAACAACCTTTTATGGCGAATATTTTAATATTTTTTTATTTATTGATATTTTTAGCCATTTCATTTTTTTTTGCGTGCAACCCTGCGTGAGTTGAACGCAAAAGTTGCCTGAAAAATCGCCTCGTGCGAAAGGCCCATTAGTATGAAGAGTAAATATCATGAAGTCGCTAAAAAGACCATCTTAACTTTGCTTCCCTCTGTCAAATATATTTCAATAATTTCAAATGGCTTAATAACACGTCTATTCCGCACGTTACCGAAGATTTTGTAACCGGAAAGTTTTATTACCAAAAAATATTACCAGTTCTTGTCACCGCGATTCTAGGTACGTTGGTAAGGCAGTGAAAATATTCAGCGATTCAGCTATGAGGAATTGTGGAGATTCGGGCATTGCATATTTCACAATGCAATACTTTGTTACCAGACCACCCGATAACCAGGCAAGTGTGAAACTTGGGAATATATGTTTGAAAAGAGAGAAAAGAGTTTAGTTACGTCAATCAAATATGCTTCTATCAATACATGATTTGGTTACAGTTACATTATTTTGTTACAGTTATCAAATCATGTGTTGAAAGAGATATGTAGGTATATTTAGCCGACGTTTTTCTTAGTGCAGTAGGTATGTTGTAACAATCGTTGCATTCCATGTGCATGTTCATGTATTTTTAAGTAAAAAACCTTGCATACAAATATTTTTATTGGTCTAATTGATTCCCGCGAAAAATATTGAACAAAACTGAGCGGTGTAACAAAACAATTCTTTGTAAATATAAACAATACGCCATGTTCACTCTTATATGAGTGTCCTCTAGCCGCTTATTGCATTCGACAATTCCATAGTTTGCAACTTGCGAAATTTTTGCAACATACCGACATCGGCTTCCGATTGCACGTTCAGTGCTTACCTTTGCACTGTTGCTGCCGGTGTTGTTCCAGCGTGTATCCATCCAGCGAGAGTCAGACTACAAGCAGCTGTTTGGCAGTTAAAAACAACAACAGTTTTTTTTTCACTTTATCTGCAACGTTGTCGAATGTCTTTGTTGTTTCCAATTTTTCATTTAATGCACCTTCTTCGTACTCCCCTTGCGTTCTCCAGTGAAAAAAAGAATAAAGCAATGAAATAAACTTGTTATAAATCTAGGTTGTGCGATTTCGATTTTTCCCACAGGGAACGCGATATTTGCCTTGGTCTAGATTGGTACAATCTATGTATGTGGTACATGTCTGTCGGACGAACCGACTGACTGATTGATTAAAATTTCGTAATCACTGGCAGATTCGTTAAATTGTAAGTGAAAATGTGACGGTCGATAGCAAAGTGTGGCCCATATAGTGGTTTGGTTTATTAATCAAGTTATTTCGACAGCTCTTACCAGTTGGAAATCTTAATAGAGAGTCAGTATCATATCACCCCGGAACGAAATGAATCACTTTACGTTTGAACAACATTAGCAAATAATGCAAACGAAATGAGAAACGTAATTTCATGTCGGCGACCCTGTTAATCAGCAAAACTGCCGCTTCTGGAGAACGGAAAACCTGCGCGTAATCGTCGAGAAGCCAATGCATTCTCAGAGAGTTACAGTTCGGTGCAGATCTAGGAGCCCATTTTTCTTTGAAACCGGAAATTGGCTGCTGGAAACGCACTTACGGTCATCGGTGAGCGCTACCGAGGCATGTTAACGATTTTTTAGTGGCCGAAAATTGAAGACATGGACTTGGACGATCTTTAATTTCGGAGATGTCAATTGGCCACTTCGGAGCTTCGAATTGACGCCGTAAGACCGTTATTCGCGGTGCCGTGAAGGACCGATATTAAGCGCACAACCCATTTACAATTCAGACCCTTAAAGCAAATATCGAGCAAGCCATTCGTGAGATAGAGCAAGAAACTTTTACCAAGGTCTTGGAAAACTGGATTAACAGGATGCAGTGCTGTGAAACCAGCCACATGAATAAAGTCGTGTTCCATAAATAGTGCGAATATTTGCTCTTTCGAATAAACCAATCATATACCGATGATGAGGATATACCAAGTGAGGCAATAAAAACGAAAATAACGATTTAACACTATCAAATAAAAATTCGCACTTTTACAAAGCTTCCTCATTTTATAACTTCACTTGTTTATAATTTTATAATGAAGTTGTTAACACTTGCCTGGTTATCTGGTTAAAAATTATTATTGTGCAGTGTATTTTATTGTTGTAAACTGAATAAAAAAATGTAACGACATAACCACATAACCTGACAACCAGGCAATCGTGAACAACCTCAATGTTAATTTTTGGGAA